TAGAGATAACAGAAGAAGAGAGACGACAGAGATACAGAGAAGAGAGACAGAAGATACAGAGATGAGAGACAGAGATACAGAGAGAGAGACAGAGATACAGAGAGAGAGAGAGAGAGACAGAGGAGACAGACACAAGAGAGAGAGAGAGACAGAGATGAGAGAGGAGAGACTTGAGGAAGAGAGAGGAAGAGAGATCGACGACAGAAGAGAGATAGAGAAAGAGAGAGATGAGGAGAGAGGAGCCAGAGAGGAGATGAGAGAAGGAAGAGAGATGAGAGAGAGAGAGAGAGGAAGAGAGACAGAGACAGGACAGACAGACAGACAGACAGAGGAGAGAGACAGACAGACAGACAGACAGACAGACAGACAGACAGACAGACAGACAGACAGAGAGAGAGAGAAGAGAGGAGAGAGAGAGAGAGAGAGAGAGAGAGAGAGAGAGAGAGAGAGAGAGAGAGAGAGAGAGAGAGAGAGAGAGAGATTGACTCCCAAAACAAAAAGCAAACATACCCATTAAGTTCTCCTCCGTCAAGGAGGAATTTCAAATCCCTTGCAGATGAGACCAAGCCAGCTATTATACGGTCAGGTTTCATTTCACAGGGTGGGGATGGAATCTTGCAAACCGGACAGATTCCATTCTCAACCTTTCCTATGCACGCACTACAGAAAAAATGATCACATCTGCCTAAACTCTGGGGATCTGCAGCAACTGTACCACTGAAACAAAAAAAAAGAGTAAATATAATCCAAGCATGATAGTTTATAAATTCTCCATGCTGACTAAACAACTTAAAAGACCACATTTTTCCATAAATGTCATAGTCTACAGCAGAAATGTGAATACTGCACAAAAACTGTAATTTAACAATTTTAAATATATAAGCTTATTATTCTAATTTTTAAAAACCTTAAGGGAAGTAACAGGAAGCAATAAATCCTTATACCATTATCAAAATTAAGAACAACAGCATACACTCTGGATGATCACAATGCTATTTAATCAGTCTTCTATATTTTTGTCTCCTTTGTATTCTAACAGAAAAGATTTATTTTTTGTATTTCTTCTCATTCTTCATATTCTTTCCATAACTTTACCAGAACCACTTATCAGGAAAGCTTAACTTTTTAAAAAATGAGCTAATCCAGAAAAAAACATCAACTCTCCTCATAGTGAAAATAGGGAAAGGGGAGAAATCACAACATATTAAATGCTATATATCTGGCTTGTTTCTTACTGGAGACACTCCATGTTTGTTTTACAGCTAATGTATAGTTTTTTATGCCAAAATCAATTCAAGTAAAACCAAACTTGATCAGTTTCAGTGTATGACAATGTGACTTAGATGATAGATAGTCTATGGTTTTGATAATCTAATAAAATT